GGAAGATCACCTTAAGTGCTGCGATGGCCGGGAAATTGTGAAGGGAGCGCCCATTTGGTTGCCTCAAGGCGCCAGGGTTCGGTTCCCGAAGCTTGCAGCTTCGTGGAATGCCCCTCTAAACGTCCAGTGAATAACCTTTTAGTGTGGGTTGAACGATGAACGGGTATACGGGGGTATAGTATAAAATATACTAAGTATAGTTATACTGAACTAGTGTAACTAGATAGCACTTAGAGGGGATTTGAGTACAAGGAGCTGGGGTATGAGGACAAGGAGCTGGGGTATGAGAACAAGGAGCTGGGATATGAGGACAAGGAGCTGGGGTATGAGGACAAGGAGCTGGGATATGAGGACTAGGAGCTGGGATATGAGGACAAGGAGCTGGGGTATGAGAACAAGGAGCTGGGTTATGAGGACAAGGAGCTGGGGTATGAGGACAAGGAGCTGGGGTATGAGAACAAGGAGCTGGGGTATGAGGACAAGGAGCTGGGGTATGAGAACAGGAAGCTGGGGTATGAGGACAAGGAGCTGGGGTATGAGAACAGGAAGCTGGGGTATGAGAACAAGAAGCTGGGGTATGAGAACAGGAAGCTGGGGTATGAGAACAAGGAGCTGGGGTCTGAGGACAAGGAGCTGGGGTATGAGGACAGGAAGCGGGGTATGAGGACAGGAAGCTGGGGTATGAGGACAGGAAGCTGGGGTATGAGGACAAGGAGCTGGGGTATGAGGACAAGGAGCTGGGGTATGAGGACAAGAAGCTGGGGTATGAGGACAGGAAGCTGGGGTATGAGGACAGGGAGCTGGGGTATGAGGACAGGAAGCTGGGGTAGCTGGGGTATGAGGACAAGGAGCTGGGTATGAGGACAAGGAAGCTGGGGTATGAGGACAGGAAGCTGGGGTATGAGGACAAGAAGCTGGGGTATGAGGACAGGAAGCTGGGGTATGAGGACAAGGAGCTGGGGAGGACAGGAGCTGGGGTATGAGGACAAGGAGCTGGGGTATGAGGACAGGAAGCTGGGGTATGAGGACAGGAAGCTGGGGTATGAGGACAAGGAGCTGGGGTATGAGGACAAGGAGCTGGGGTATGAGAACAAGGAGCTGGGTTATGAGGACAAGAAGCTGGGGTATGAGGACAGGAAGCTGGGGTATGAGGACAAGGAGCTGGGGTATGAGAACAGGAAGCTGGGGTATGAGGACAGGAAGCTGGGGTATGAGGAGGAGCTGGGGTATGAGAACAGGAAGCTGGGGTATGAGGACAGGAAGCTGGGGTATGAGGACAGGAAGCTGGGGTATGAGGACAGGAAGCTGGGGTATGAGAACAGGAAGCTGGGGTATGAGAACAAGAAGCTGGGGTATGAGGACAAGAAGCTGGGGTATGAGAACAGGAAGCTGGGGTATGAGGACAAGGAGCTGGGGTATGAGGACAAGGAGCTGGGGTATGAGGACAAGGAGCTGGGGTATGAGGACAAGAAGCTGGGGTATGAGGACAAGGAGCTGGGGTATGAGGACAGGGTCCTCATGATCTCTGTCTCTGGATATCTCTCTGTGTGTCTCTCTCTTTCTCTCCACTCTCACCCTTCTCTCCCTCTCTCGCAGGTGATCAACTATGAAAACGACTTGAGTGTGGAAGTTACTGTACGCCAGGAGGAGGGCCGCACTGTGTCCACTCTGCTGGTGGTCCGGGCCACTTTGGACCACTCTGGCCGCTACCAGTGTGCTCCTTCCAACGCGGCCCGGGCCTCAATCACGGTCCACGTGTCCAAAGGTAATTTTGGCTCATCTGGGCACTCATTTTCCATCTGTGTCTCTCTAGGGTGTGTTCCTCAAGTGTTAGATCAATTTTCTTCTCTACCCCCATTCAAGTCGCCTGAGAATCTTGTATGTAGTGACCATATCTCCCCTAACTCTTCTTTCTTTTTTCCAGCGACGTGAGGTTTAGTTCCCGTAGTCTCTCCTCGTAGCTCATACCCCTCAGCGCGGGTACTAGTCTGGTGGCATACCTCTGGTGTATATGTGTGTGTGTGTGTGTGTGTGTGTGTGTGTGTGTGTGTGTGTGTGTGTGTGTGTGTGTGTGTGTGTGTGTGTGTGTGTACTCACCTATTTGTACTCACCTATTTGTACTCACCTATTTGTGCTTGTTCGGGGGTTGAGCTTTGGCTCTTTGGTCCCGCCTCTCAACTGTCAATCAACTGGTGTACAGATTCCTGAGCCTACTGGGCTCTATCATATCTACATTTAAAACTGTGTATGGAGTCAGCCTCCACCACATCACTGCCTAGTGCATTCCATCCGTTAACTACTCTGACACTGAAAAAGTTCCTTCTAACGTCTCTGTGGCTCATGTGGGTACTCAGTTTCCACCTGTGTCCCCTTGTTCGCGTCCCACCAGTGTTGAATAGTTTATCCTTGTTTACCCGGTCGATTCCTCTGAGGATTTTGTAGGTTGTGATCATGTCTCCCCTTACTCTTCTGTCTTCCAGTGTCGTAAGGTGCATTTCCCGCAGCCTTTCCTCGTAACTCATGCCTCTTAGTTCTGGGACTAGTCTAGTGGCATACCTTTGGACTTTTTCCAGCTTCGTCTTGTGCTTGACAAGGTACGGGCTCCATGCTGGGGCCGCATACTCCAGGATTGGTCTTACATATGTGGTGTACAAGATTCTGAATGATTCCTTACACAGGTTCCTGAACGCTGTTCTGATGTTAGCCAGCCTCGCATATGCCGCAGACGTTATTCTTTTTATGTGGGCTTCAGGAGACAGGTTTGGTGTGATATCAACTCCTAGATCTTTCTCTCTGTTCGTTTCATTAAGTACTTCATTAAGTACTGTGTGTGTGTGTGTGTGTGTGTGTGTGTGTGTGTGTGTGTGTGTGTGTGTGTGTGTGTGTGTGTGTACGTGTGTATACATGTGCAGGTATGACATGTGTTTGACTGACGTACGTTCACCCATCAGAGCATGTATAGGATGGATATACATACAGCATAACAGGTGTGTATTTCATCCTATGGTTGGCACATCATGACATGTGTGGAAATCAGCCACCATTAACTGACTTAAAACAAACAATGAAAAACAGATGTTAGAAAACAGGAAATTTTTTAATCTGCACTTGTATTCCTTTCTTATTACAAATATTACTTCTCAGAAAATACTGCACAGGTTAGAGCTTTTGATAGTTTGGTTTCTGTGAGTGCAATTTTATCTTGATTCTCCACATATGTCTGATCCTTGAATTCAAATGATTTGTTTGAGATTCCATCTGCTTTTGTATTCAGTTCTGTGTCTCTCTGAAATCACACGTCCTCCACCTTTTAAGTAATGGGGGTTTAATGGGGTAATGAGGGAAGGCTTTTATGGATAATGCAGTGAGATGCAAGTAAGGGAAGGAATGGGGGGATGGGGAGTAAGGGAAAATATGTTTAATAACCAGAAACTGGGAGGTATATAAGGGAAGAGCTCATATGAAATACAGGTTCTGCAATATAGGAAGAACGCCACTGTACCAACTAATTAGGGGAAAGGGGGTGTTTGAAAACAATCATAGGGGGATATAGGGATGTGGTAAGGGAAGATGTGTTGGTACTGCTAGTGACTGAGGGAAGAACAGGTCAGTTTTGTTTCTGTTCTCTATGAGTTGTTCGTTCGTCTGTTGCAGCTGCTGCATCTCTCATCATAAAGTTTACTCTAGTTTGTATTGAAGTGAATTAGATCTCTTTTAAACCAGGATTCTCACCCTTATAGTTTCTCTGGGAAACACAGCATTAATGAACTGATTTGTCCTCATTCCAGTATTAACCTTGTCTGGATACTCATAGTCTCCATGTTGTTAACGGTCTGCCTTCCTTGCCATATTTATCAGCATGTCCTTCACACTATACCTTATTCCCATACATTGTCCAAAACTTACAACGTATGTATATATTATTTTATATGTGACTTGAGCTCCGTGCAATGTTATGTGATCTGGCCTCCCTCATTGCTGCCTCATAAACACACCTCTTGCCTCATGGTGTGAGGGTGGCAGCGTGTGCCAGAGAGAGAGAGAGAGAGAGAGAGAGAGAGAGAGAGAGAGAGAGAGAGAGAGAGAGAGAGAGAGAGAGAGAGAGAGAGAGAGAGAGAGAGAGAGAGAGAGAGAGAGAGAGAGAGAGAGAGAGACAGAGACAGAGAGAGCATATTTAAACATTCCTGATGAATCCCCTAACCTTTATAAACAAAATAAAATATGTATAGTATGTGTATATGTGTATTCCTGTCTGTATAGTATGTATATATGTATATATGTGTATTCCTGAGTATTGATGTCCGCGCGTGTCTACACTACCCGCATCAATGTTTATCTACACTCAATGTAAAAACTTTGTTTACTTATCATCCTCATTTGTTTTTTAGGGGCCGGGGGGGGGGGGAGGGGAGGATGAGGGGTACTTTTTGGCTACTCATTTTGAGCTTTGTCTACCTCCCATATTTACACAGCTCTACTTTGATGTAGATGTCTACATGGTAGACATCTACTTTGTCTACGTCATCTATTTCATATCTCCTTCTTATTCTATATTTACCAATATCTACTTCACCTACTATGTATTTCATCCACGATATACATAATCTACCCTCTACTTCATCTACTATTTACGTCATCTACTATCTGCTTCATCTACTATTTACTTCATCTACTATCTACTTCAACTGTTATGTTTACATTTAATCATTAAAACATCTACTAGAGCCGTTTTAATCAATCACTCAATTATTAACTATAATTGACAACAGTGAACCCGTCATAAGCTTCCTATATTCTCCTCTACCCCATACCCCTGGGCACTAGGAGACTCTAACTGCTGACCCCCGCGTGTGTGTGTGTGTGTGTGTGTGTGTGTGTGTGTGTGTGTGTGTGTGTGTGTGTGTGTGTGTGTGTGTGTGTGTGTGTGTGTGTGTGTGTGTGTGTGTGTGTGTGTGTGTGTGTGTGTGTGTGTGTGTGTGGGTGTGTGTGTGTGTGTGTGTGTGTGTGTGTGTGTGTGTGTGTGTGTGTGTGTGTGTGAGAAAGAGAGAGAGAGAGAGAGTAATGGGGTTTAATGGGGTAATGAGGGAAGGCTTTTATGAATTATGCAGTGAGATGCGAGTAAGGGAAGGAATGGGGGATGGGGAGTAAGGGAAAATATGTTTAATAACCAGAAACTGGGAGGTTTCGAAGCTCTATCGACTGAGCTATTGAGTGGCCCTCATAAGGAAAATTTAAATTTCTCATCTATTTTTTTCCGTCACTTGTTTGTGCATTGCAGGAGAGGAACCAGCAGCCATGCAGACCAGCTGCAGCCCCAAGATGCAGCATCACCAGCATATGTTGATCTCTGCTGCATCTGTCTACGTAGGAGTTTTCCTTCTGTCTTGAAAGGAGGGAGGGATCTTGAGATGATTTCGGGGGTTAGGTTAGGTTACACACCCCGCGGGAAGCAGCCCGTAGCAGCTGTCTAACTCCCAGGTACCTATTTAATGCTTGGTAACAGAGGCATCAGGGTGGAAGAAACATTTTGCCTATTTGTCTCCGCCTCCATCGGGGATCGAACCCGGAACCTCAGGACTACGAATCCGTAACGCTGTCCACCCAGCTGTCAGGCGGTGGGATGGAGGTGTAGGTAGATGCTACCAGATGGCCGTGGAGACCACAGGTGTGGGATTTCTGGTGTGTGGGAAGGTGCATGAGTGGTAGATGTGACAGGTGTGTATAACAGCTGCTCGGTCGATTTCTACCGGTTTACATAAGGAGACAGGTGTGTGACAGGGGCGAGGCAGGTGTTTGAAGCGTTAATTACACCGGAATATGGGCTGGTGACTCCAACAGGTGTGTAATGTGACATTTCCTAAAGTTCAACTATGAACTTTAGCTGAACAACTCTTGAACATCTGTTAGACAATCCTTTGTTCATCTAGCCAGTAATTGATCATCTACTAGCCAATCCTCAGACATCTCCTTATTATCTTTTACACATTTGCCGACAAATTCTTTAACATCTGTTAGTCAATTTAATGAACATACATTAATCATTATCTTGAAAATCAGTTCCCCATTTGTTGAACATTTTGGGCAATTTCGGAAACATACTTCGTTACTTTATTGCATATGTCTGATAATTATTTAACATATTTTGGAAATTTCTTGAACATTTTGTTCATTGTTTAGTTAAACATCATTTAATTCATTAATTACCCATTTGTTGAACATTGCAAAAGTTTCTCTCTTGCAATCAGATTGTGTTCAAATATGATCAACTGGAGAGCATGACAATGTTCATTTGTTCAATAACGTTCATCCCATAAGTTGTCACCTTTGAACAATACGAAAAAGGAACATGTTACCAGATGAACAAGAACAAAGAACGATGAGAACAATTTGTGTGTTTATGAAGAACAGCTGCACTAGGAATAGAACGAATAAAGGAGTATTTACCTAAGAATATCCCCCTCCAAGAATATTGAGACTACCTTCAAAGACACTGGGACTTTCTTAGCAGTGTGAAGATTTCTTCAAGAAATTGAAGGCTATTTTGATATTTATTAAATTTACTTGTAAATATATAAATATATATATATATATATATATATAAATATAAATATATATATATATATATATATATATATATATATATATATATATATATATATATATATATATATATATATATATATATATATATATATATATATATATATATATATATATATATATATTATTAAATATGACCGAAAAAGTAAGATTAATAATTCTAACACGAATTTTCTCAATCTTTCGTACATTACGCTTCACTGTTGGAGGTAAATCAAAAATCACTTCTCCAAAATTCATTTTTATTTCTAGTCTGACGCGACACGGGCGCGTTTCGTAAAACTTATTACATTTTCAAAGACTTCACAAATACACAACTGATTAGAACGTATCTCTGATTTTATATCTACATTTGAGTGAGGTGGGAAGGGTGATGTGGCATTAACACAAGACAGAACAGGAGGGGATATTAATAGGGTATTAAAAGTATCAACACAAGACAGAACAGAAACAATGGGTATTGAATAGAAGTGTTTGTAGAAAGCCTATTGGTCCATATTTCTTGATGCTTCTATATTGGAGCGGAGTCTTGAGGTGGGTAGAATATAGTTGTGCAATAATTGGCTGTTGATTGCTGGTGTTGACTTCTTGATGTGTAGTGCCTCGCAAACGTCAAGCCGCCTGCTATCGCTGTATCTATCGATGATTTCTGTGTTGTTTACTAGGATTTCTCTGGCGATGGTTTGGTTATGGGAAGAGATTATATGTTCCTTAATGGAGCCCTGTTGCTTATGCATCGTTAAACGCCTAGAAAGAGATGTTGTTGTCTTGCCTATATACTGGGTTTTTTGGAGCTTACAGTCCCCAAGTGGGCATTTGAAGGCATAGACGACATTAGTCTCTTTTAAAGCGTTCTGTTTTGTGTCTGGAGAGTTTCTCATGAGTAGGCTGGCCGTTTTTCTGGTTTTATAGTAAATCGTCAGTTGTATCCTCTGATTTTTGTCTGTAGGGATAACGTTTCTATTAACAATATCTTTCAGGACCCTTTCCTCCGTTTTATGAGCTGTGGAAAAGAAGTTCCTGTAAAATAGTCTAATAGGGGGTATAGGTGTTGTGTTAGTTGTCTCTTCAGAGGTTGCATGGCTTTTCACTTTCCTTCAGAAGGAAAGTGAAAAGCCATGCAACCTCTGAAGAGACAACTAACACAACACCTATACCCCCTATTAGACTATTTTACAGGAACTTCTTTTCCACAGCTCATAAAACGGAGGAAAGGGTCCTGAAAGATATTGTTAATAGAAACGTTATCCCTACAGACAAAAATCAGAGGATACAACTGACGATTTACTATAAAACCAGAAAAACGGCCAGCCTACTCATGAGAAACTCTCCAGACACAAAACAGAACGCTTTAAAAGAGACTAATGTCGTCTATGCCTTCAAATGCCCACTTGGGGACTGTAAGCTCCAAAAAACCCAGTATATAGGCAAGACAACAACATCTCTTTCTAGGCGTTTAACGATGCATAAGCAACAGGGCTCCATTAAGGAACATATAATCTCTTCCCATAACCAAACCATCGCCAGAGAAATCCTAGTAAACAACACAGAAATCATCGATAGATACAGCGATAGCAGGCGGCTTGACGTTTGCGAGGCACTACACATCAAGAAGTCAACACCAGCAATCAACAGCCAATTATTGCACAACTATATTCTACCCACCTCAAGACTCCGCTCCAATATAGAAGCATCAAGAAATATGGACCAATAGGCTTTCTACAAACACTTCTATTCAATACCCATTGTTTCTGTTCTGTCTTGTGTTGATACTTTTAATACCCTATTAATATCCCCTCCTGTTCTGTCTTGTGTTAATGCCACATCACCCTTCCCACCTCACTCAAATGTAGATATAAAATCAGAGATACGTTCTAATCAGTTGTGTATTTGTGAAGTCTTTGAAAATGTAATAAGTTTTACGAAACGCGCCCGTGTCGCGTCAGACTAGAAATAAAAATGAATTTTGGAGAAGTGATTTTTTATTTACCTCCAACAGTGAAGCGTAATGTACGAAAGATTGAGAAAATTCGTGTTAGAATTATTAATCTTACTTTTTCGGTCATATTTAATAATATATGTCTACAGGAAAGACTGCTACCAAAATATACTAATATATATATATATATATATATATATATATATATATATATATATATATATATATATATATATATATATATATATATATATATATATATATATATATATTCCCTATGTATGTACATTTACGGTGCTGTAGTTATCCGTTAACTATTCCCACACCTGACAACGACACACCTGACAACGACACACCTGACAACGACACACCTGACAACGACACACCTGACAAAGACACACCTGACAACGACACACCTGATAATGACACACCTGACAACAATACACCTGACAACGACCCACCTGACAAAGACACACCTGACAAAGACACACTTGACAACAGCACACCTGACAACGACACACCTGACAACAGCACACCTGACAACAGCACACCTGACAACGACACACCTGACAACAGCACACCTGACAACAACACACCTGACAAAGACACACCTGACAATAGCACACCTGACAACGACACACCTGACAACAGCACACCTGACAACGACACACCTGACAACAGCACACCTGACAACGACACACCTGACAACGACACACCTGACAACGACACACCTGACAACGACACACCTGACAACAACACACCTGACATCGACACACCTGACAACGACACACCTGACAACAGCACACCTGACAACGACACACCTGACAACGACACACCTGACAACGACACACCTGACAACAACACACCTGACATCGACACACCTGACAACGACACACCTGACAACAACACACCTGACAGACACACCTGACAACAACACACCTGACAAAGACACACCTGACAACGACATACCTGCCAACAACACACCTGACAACGACACACCTGACAACAACACACCTGACAAAGACACACCTGACAACAACACACCTGACAAAGACACACCTGACAACGACACACCTGACATCGACACACCTGACAACGACACACCTGACAAAGACACACCTGACAACGACACACCTGACAACGACACACCTGACAACGACATACCTGCCAACAACACACCTGACAACGACACACCTGACAAATAATGTTTGTAAAAAATTAACACAATAACAGGCATGAACATATAAATATAACAGGTATAACAAGTTATAACAGGTATAACATATAAATATAAAATACAATATAATTTATGGAGCTGTATGTTCATACTGTATTTGGTGCATGTGAGCGTCTGTGTATCTTGACAATTTATACCTAAACACTTATTAAGGTGCCATTAATTATTATTTTATATATTTGTATAAAGCTGTGTGTGTCTCCAAGTAAATGAATTACAAGTTATGTTGTTTTTATTACGATAGCCTGTATATATATATATATATATATATATATATATATATATATATATATATATATATATATATATATATATATATATATATATATATATACACCACATGTGGAGATTTAGAGAATGCTATACACGTTTTCGGCTGACTTCACCTTCATCAGAGCAAGATAGAGAATGAAAAAGGAAACATTACAGACAGACCTTACACCCGCCAGGGCAGGTCACCTGACCACCGAGAACTGAGGTTGAAATCTTACTTTATGGAAAAATGGGGAAGAAAAAGGGGAATAGGGAAGAATGAAATAAGGATAAATTTAAAACAAATATTCCACTCTGTCGTGGTGGAAGCAAGAAAAACACTGGAGAGTAGCGTATAGCTGCCGCCGGTTGGGAAACACATAAAAAACTAAATAAA